AAAACGATCAAAAAAAAAAAAAAAAATGATGCGATGCTTGTTTAATGATGTGATGCTTGTTTAATAAACTAACGTCATAATTCAGTAACATTTTTTAAATTATGTCACCAAGCCGTAAAATGATGTGATTCTTGTTTAATAAACTAAATAATTACGCTTTTCTTAATTGTTGTTATATGCTTAAAAATAGGGGCGTTGCTAGAATTTTTTTTAACCCGAGACTGCATATTACTGTAGCTATTATGGAACCGAGTAGACATGGTCGTGGGCCAGGTCGGCCCCCTGGTTCGGCCCGAACCGACCGTTGACCATGGCTCTTGAATCGGCCTGTGATTTTGACCAGTCATGTTCATGTTCAATACTTTATAGTTTATACATTTCAAACTGACGTTTTCAGTTTCGAACTGGAACTGGAACTGGAGGTTCATAATTTTTTGTTTCAAAAAAATACTTTTTAAATATATTTACTTTTTTAATGAAGCGGGCGACCAAGAACTGACAACTCAATGAACTGGCCAGTGCATATATTCGGGCTGGCTATTTCAACTCGGAACAGATTTTGCTATGACTAGAACAGAATAATTTATTAACATATTTCGGTTCGAATTGTGAAAACTCAATCTCGACTAGTTTATATATTTAAACAAATCAAACTTATAAAGCTAATCAAACATGTCGATCAAACAACTAGAGTAAAAAATGTTTGCAATCAACTCTATAAGATTTTTTTATTTTTTTATTTTTTTTGTCTAGGAAATGAGGGCAAATTAATTATTGGAGACGAATTTAACAAAAATCAAACGAAAATGGTTAACAAACTGTGCAAAGAGACAAACTCAAAATAGCCCGCAAGAGAAGTGTGCGTCAAGCTTAATTACCGAACTCATTTGATACTTGTCAAATCAACTCATTAAGAATTTAAAAGGTATTAGTGTTAAGCTACATTTTAAACTAAATTGATAAAAACTTAATAAGAGCATAATTGTCATTTGACAAGTGAAAGATTGTCTTCTATCCTCTCACTACGATCATCACTTATCCACCGTGGTTGTCAAATGAATAAACTTGACCTGAATCTTGAGATCCAGCTCAATATTAGATGGGGCTAAACAAAAAATTACATAGGACTCCCTATAAAATTTCTTAAAATTTAAAGTTAGATTTTTTTTTTTTTATGGACCTAGGGCTGGAGCCCACCCTAGCCTAAGGGTGGCTCCGCCCCTGCTTAAAAATGACGACACAATTGTATACATATCATAAAGTAATTACACTTTGAGCCAAAAATTGTTGTTATATTAGTAAAAATTGTGACATGTTCTAAGAACGTGACACTATTTTAATACAATTCTGAAAATGTGTCGTCATATAATTAACCACGACGACACTTTTGTATAAAATGTCATACTATAGTTACACTTTTAAATAAATGTCTCAATATTTGGTTAAGACGGCACATGATTTGATTACATTTTTCAAAAAGGGTTGTTATAGTCTTATCTTTGTAACGCTTTTTAAAAAGTGTCCCAAACATATCAATTTTAATTGCACTTATTAAAAAGGTCACAATATTTATGTTGTTAGAACTCATTTTTTTATGAAACTACCCGACGCTCAATTCAGAATCAACTCGCCCATTTTCTTATATGAAACTACCCGACGCTCAATTCAAAATCTACACGCGAGAGAAAACTAAGAGGTGTAACGTATGAGAGTGAGACTAAAATAAAACATAGAACGTAGTCACCCTTATATAGTATGGTGTCTTGGGGAGCAATAGAGTCTTAACTAAGAACCCACCAAATGTCTACCATGACTCCAACATCAATCCTTTGGAGAAATAATATGTAGCAGTTACATCTCAGGAACATTGAAGGGCTAATTCAAGTAATTAGCACAATCTAATCAAGTGTTCTGTTCTTTTAACATTTTCATATCCCTGGAAATTGGGATTGGTATGAGATTACCCTTGGTACAGTGGTAGCTGCATTGTCCATATCGGGCATCAAAAAAATTCCGGTAATTGTTGTGGAGGCAGAATGGTTATACGATTTGTTGAATTTCGATGCCTGTTTGGAGATTCATCAGCGTCATTTCAACGCCGGTTCAGAGGTTCATCACGGTTAGCTGAATACGGTACCATTCTTTTTTTCTTAATTGTTATTTTATTATTATTTGTTACCTTTTTTTTTTAAGAAAGACTCAAGGAAAGAAACTTATGAGAGAAACTCGAGCTCTCGTACTACCAAACGATTTTTTTTTTTAAATACAAGAAACTTATGAGAGAAGTTATTTACCACAACCAAAACTGTACGATGAGCTCTGTAAATCCTTAGTTCGTATGTTCGTTTGCAGACTTGCAGTGTGTATCTCTTTAGTGAATGTTTTCGACCGAATTTTATTTGTAAGAACTTCACCTTTAAATAGTTTTGAATGATTTGTTAACCTGATGAAATTTTTAGTTGTTGGTATGAAGGTCATATTAATATAACTAGGTGTCATGCATTCAATGGAAGGAAATACAAAATGAAATAAAAATTGGAATAGGAAATCTCACTCTAATTTAGTTAGCTCCCAAAAAATTAGGTTGAGTTAATTTTTATGTTTTACTCAAAATGCGAGAATCAATATGTTGAACCTCCGCTATATATTAACTCATGCAATGTGGCATGCAATTTGATATAACTAGTGCGCATCTCATGAAATGCAGGGTAAACAATATTAAAGAATAATTATGAATAAGTATCGAGTTCGAGTCACCCAATAAAAGAAGTGAGGAATCACTGTTGATTCTCTTTAAAAGAGCAAGAATATATATTATAAATTAAAGATGAGGGTAAACTATATTAATTAATAATTATAAATTAACGATGTGGAGTTAACATGTCATATAATTTACGGTATATCAGTTTATTATAAACTATATAAATTTAACTTGTTCAAGAGAACATAAAATTTGTATCTTTAAACAATTAAAAACTCCTAAAATATTGTATTAACATATGTAAAATTATCTTAAAATTTCTATATTATTATTAAAAGATGTGAAGTCATCTACAACTTTTCTAAACTATTTTGTAAATAAAAAATATCTAAAAATATTAAAGTTTACATTTGTATGAAAGATATTTTCTGAATATAACATGATAAAATATTATAAGCCTAAATAAATAGATTATAAAGTTTTTGAAAGAAAATTTACCTAGTATATATAAAATAAATATTGACATGGTGCTGAAAATAATGACGATACTACCGTAAAATTTGAGTATAGAAGATTTCAAAATTATTATTATTATTCTTTTGAGTAATTTGAGTACAATAATTTTCAAAGTTATTGTTATTATTCTTTTAAGTAGTTTGAGCACAAAAGTTACAAAAATATTATTACTTTTTAGTTACTGTGAAAAGAAATTTTGTAGACATAAAATTCCACGCTTTATGTAGATTTATTGAACGGAGACTAAGACAAAAAAAAAAAAAAAAAAAAATGTCTATTTTCAAAATTATCCTCTTGATTTTTGAAACAATGCATTTGTAATTTGACTTAATTATTGTAAAATTTTGAAACTTATGGAAAAAAATTAAAAAGATGAATTTCAATTGATTTGAAATTCTTAAATCATTTTGAATTTCGTGCAGATTGAAACCAAAAAATGTAAATTCATTATGGTTTTTGTAATTTCCAATATGTTTGTTAATTTTAAAGCGGCACAAAATCCTTCATTTAAGGATATGGATAGAAGCATGTGATTAGATATTTTTGGAATTCAATTTGAACAAAATCCTTTATTAGGAAGAGATTTTGAATTAAACCCAATTTTTTGGCAACTAAAATGAGAAGGGAGTTTGAATTTCAAATTTTCAATTCAAGTTCTAAAGGAAAAATTTTCTTCAATCAGATTGTTTAAAAACACAATCAATATTTTTTTTAAAATCGAATAAATAGGTAAGTTGTAAATTTTTCTCGTCTATTTAAAAATATATATGAATAATAAGTATATTTATAAATCATATATTAATTAGATGATTTTGTTTTTATATGAAATATTCAAATCAAAAAATTGAAGTAGTTGAGTAATTTATTAAACTATGAATAATTGACTATTTCATTTACGTCGTCAAAGTTAATGTTAACTCGTAAGTTAAGAATAATTACTTATTTGACTTATGAATTTGGAACTCAAATTTGGACTACACACTAAATTCCCTTATATATTTTATGTATAAATATATTATATATATAATCTCGTAATTTTTTAAAGTTGTTGTCGGTTACTTTATCGTTCAAATTTATCAATTTATTTTCTAGAATTAAATTATATATTTTTTATCTTATTGACCAATATTTTTTCAAAT